GCGGGGGGGCGGGGGGAGCTGTGTTGAAGTATGAGACTCCCATCTGGATCAGAGAAACCTGGGTGTGAGTCCCGGCTCTGCCACCTACCAGCTCTGTGACCTTGGGCTCAGGCAATAAGACCTGCATGTCATGGAATCACTGTGAGGCCTATGTCATGTGGCCACCGCCCTGGCCACTCTTCAGTGTTGCTCTGGTTGCAGTCAGGAATCAGAAATGCTGCGGCTTCAGAATCAGCCTGGATAGACTGTACTAAGCGAGGCTTTGAGGCTCCAGGAGGAGGATGAAAGCATTTCACTTATAATGGGATATCCCCCATGAACTTCATCCAGTGTATCTGGAAGTTCTTCCTGTGGAGCTGGGAACACTTTGCTGGAGATGGGCCTCCGGGCCATGTCCTTGTGGCCTTTGTTGTTCCCTGGCCTTCCCCTTGATGCCCTCACACACCCCATCTTGGCTAAGCCAGATGTCCACTGTCTTCAGTCTGTGCTGGGCCACTAACCATCTTTAGCCCAGACCCAGTCTCTCCCTTTGCATGGTATGCCCTTCCCCTGCCCACCCATCCATCCACATTCTCCTCTCTATTCAGGATCCACACCTCCCTGAAGCTTTCCATGCCCAGCGCTTTTCCTTTCTTCAGTGTCTCCATGCCTGCAAGGGCTATATGATTGTTTGAGCTTGAGTTATTTGCTCTCTGATGTAGTTCTGAATCATGTGTAATGAAGTTCATTGTCCTCTCAGGGCAGCCACCTGGCCATTTTCTCTCTCGGCATTCATGGTAGTAAGTGTTAGGTGGCTGGTTAGCTCTAACAACGTTAGCGGTATGAGGGAAAAAGTCCAGATAGTACTTTATTTGGAGGGGAAAAAAAAGTGGTAATGTGGAGATCATGTTCTGGCTGCAGTATGTAATCCCAGCCAGTACAGCAGAGGAAACACACAGCTTCATAGAAGAGCGCCCTCCAGCGCTTTCTCACATAGGGCCCAGGTGAAGAGGAGACACGTTCTTAGGCTCCCAAGTAAAATTTTAAAATTTTGGTGACAGCAAAGTCAGCTCTCAAGTGAGCTTCTGTATTATTACTCATAATAACTCCTGCTGGGGGGCCTGGGTGGCTCAGTCGGTTGTGTGTCTGACTTAGCTCAGGTCATGATTTCATGGTTTGTGAGTCCGAGCCCTGCATCTGCTGTCAGCGCAGAACCTACTTCAGATCCTCTGTCCCCCTTTCTCTCTGCCCCTCCCCTGCTCATGCACTCTCTCAAAAATAATAAGTGAAAACATTAAAAAAAATAACTCCTGGCTGCAAAACACATGCACGTTTGCCCCAGCAATTCTGCTCCTAGGACCACAGCCTACAGATAAACTTACACCCACCCAAAATTATGTATGCCTGTGGTTACTCATTGCACCATTGGTTAAGATGGCAAATATTGGAAACATCACAGGGAAGAGTGTTAATTAACAGAAAAGTAATTCAAGAAGTAAGATATAAACAATTCCACATAACTTTTTTTAAAAAAAGAATAAACAGGGAAGCTACATATGGTTGTGGAAATACGTGTAAAAAATACTGTGAAGGGCTCAGTTGGTTAAGCATTCCACTCTTGATCTTAGCTCAGGTCTTGATCTCAGGGTTATGAGCTCAACCCTGATGTTGGGGTCCACAGTGGGCATGAAGCCTATTTAAAAAAAAAAGGGGGGTACCTGGGAGGCTAAGTCAATTGAGCGTCTGACTCTTGATTTCAGTTCAGGTCATGATCTCACGGTTCGTGGGATTGAGCCCTGTATTGGACCCTGCACTGACAGTGGGGAGCCTGCTTGGGATTTTCTCTCTCCCTCTCTCTGTCCCTCCCCTCATCTCTCTCTCTCTCTCAAAATAAATAAATAAACATTTTTAAAAAAGAAATAAATACCATTAGTTAAAAGCAAGCACCAAACTGCATGTACGTGACCGTTAGGAAAAAAGAGGGGAAAGGACCAAACACGCACACATGTATAGGTCTCCTGACTGGCCTCTGCAAAAGGCAGACATGAGAACCTAGCAAACGTGACTGCCTGTAAGGAGGGGAACTGGATGGCTTGGGGTCAGAGACTGAAGGTAAATCTTCACTGTGGACTCTTAATGCTTTTTAAATTCTGCATCATGTGAATTTATTGATAGTTCAAAAACTGAATCTAAAAAACAGCATTTTGTTTACACAGTAAAGAGCTCCCTGGCCCAGCTGGCTCCCCCATGTGGACTTGACCAATGCCCTGGCTGGGGCCCAACCTCACCTGGGGCTTGATGTTGGCAGCCAGCAGCGCGTCAATGAGCCGCACATAGTAGTTGAGGCCTGCTTCATTGATATATTTTGTGGTTCCATCCGGGAGGATACGAGACCAGGAGATGGAGAAGCGATAGTGGGAGACAGCCAAGTTCTGCAGGGCAACCACATCCTCAGCAATCTTGTGATAACTGTCACAGGCCACATCTCCGGTGTCATCATTTCCAACCTTCAGCGGTGTGTGAGAAAATGTGTCCCAAATACTGAGTCCTTTGCCATCTGCTCTCCACGCACCTTCGATCTCAAGATGACAAGACATGGTCAAATTAAGTCATGCAGTCTAGCCCTCACAAGTTCCTTTCTGTCAGTGGGGGAGCTGCAAGTCAGGACCCATGTCAGTGTCACCTCCTCTGAGAAACTTCTCTGGCCACCCTCTGATTTTTGGACTCCTAGAGCTTTCTGTACACACTTTGTGTCCATCCTGGCAGTGTCACGCTGCATCTCATAGTTACGGGATTGCTGACTGACTTTCCCTGAGACTCTGAGGCCCAGGCATCGTGACTTTCATCTTGGTGTCCCAGCACTTAATGTAGCAGTGTCTGGTATATGGCAGTTGTGCACTAAAAGTCTGAATGAACAATCACATGCCTCCAGCCCCAATCACAGTCAAACGAATACCACTGATGCCAGCTGTGGAGGCAGAATTTCAAATCAGGACCTGGGTCACAGTTTCTGTGCCTCCTTCTGCTCCCTCTGCCCTCCCCCCGCCCCCCACCTTATAGGGAAAGTGACCATAAGCCACTAAGCAAATGCCTACTTACAGGCTTAGGTAGTATGATAGGTACAAGTTCTGTAATTTACTTCTTTTTAGTGTTTATTTATTTATGAGAGACAGAGCACAAGGGGAGGAGCAGAGAGAAAGAGGGAGACACAGAATCTGAAACAGGCTTCAGGCTCTGAGCTGTTAGCACAGAGCCCGACACAGGGCTTGAACTCATGAATCGTGAGATCGTGACCTGAGCCAAAGTCGGACGCTTAACATTCTGAGCCACCCAGGTGCCCCTGTAATTTACTTTAAAGCAATATAACACATACACCATGATGTTATGTGACTGGATGGAGCTAAGGTATTGCTGGCATCCTGACCAAGAACACGTACCCCAGCGTGGCCTGCACAGCCCCATGCAAGTGGGCTCAGGGCCAGCAGGAAGGTACCAGTGCAAGAGATCAGTTAGTGCAGGGGGATCAAGTAACCATGTTGAGGCTATTAGGAGCTAGATTTTTCACCACTGGAGAAAAGAGATATAAATATGGGCAATGGGAAAGCTGGCATCGAGCCTGTGGATTGGATTTGGAGGTATCAGTATGAACTCATGTTTTAAAATCTACATAGAGATAGGGGGTGCCTGGGTGGTTCAGATGGTTAAGTGTCCAACTTCAGCTCAGGTCATGATCTTATGGTTCATGAGTTCAAGCCCTGCATTGGGCTCTGTGCTGACAGCTCAGAGCCTGGAGCCTGCTTTGGATTCTGTATCTCTCTCTCTGTCTCTGCCCCTTCCCCACTCACGCTCTGTCTCTCTCTCAAAAATAAATAAACATTAAAAAAATGTTGTTAATCCACATAGAGATGGGGTAGATACAGAAATAACATACAAGTGCACGTGTTTTTGTGCATATATATGTGAATTTCCTAGCTAGAGGAATTCTAGAATGACGACACCCCAGTAACAGTGAGCATATCCAGCACCTAGATCTTGGTTTCTAAACGCCCCTATCCAGTAAGAGAAAGGGTTCATTAGACAAAGGGATGATTACAGGGCTGGGACAGAAAAGGTATAAGCTGAGTCTGGAACATCTTGTACAAGAAAGAACTAAGCAAGTGCTCAAATAATGATGGGCCATGTGAAAAGGACACAGGATCTGGCTAAAAGGCACTCCCCATAGCAAAATGTGGAAAATGTGGACATCTAAATAATAATATGATAACTCACTGAATAAAATAGGACTGCATCCAGCCATACTGCTGATGCATATTTATATAGTGTGCATAAATATGAGAAAAGTCAAAGTTTGACCTTTCTGTTGAATGCCCCCTGATAAATATAAGAGGAATCATGAAATTAGAAAATCACCATTTGTCACCTATCACAGTAATAACTGATTCAGGCACAAATTATCAACAGCTGCTAAAACTAGCGGGTGAAATTTGATGAGGAAAAGGCTATATAGTCTCCAAGTAGATCCCCACAAAATAATTATTATTTATAACTATAAAATACTTAATTTTATGGTAGAGAAACCTGGTAAACACTTTCTTATTCAAGTGATAAAATCAGTTTCATATATATACTATATATATGTGTGTGCACGTACACACACACAGAAAATATGGCAAATGGTAAAATTTTAACAGTTGAGAAATATGGGAAAAGGATATACAGGAGTCCTCTACTATTTCTTCAACTTTTCTCTGTGTTCAAAAGGATTTCCAAATAAAAGGTTTTAAAAAAAAAATGCACAATAGGGGCGCCTGGGTGGCTCAGTCGGTTAAGCGTCTGACTTCGGCTCAGGTCATGATCTCACGGTCCGTGAGTTCGAGCCCTGCGACGGGCTCTGTGCTGACAGCTCTGACAGCTCAGAGCCTGGAGCCCGTTTCAGATTCCGTGTCTCCCTCTCTCTCTGCCCCTCCCCTGTTCATGCTCTGTCTCTCTCTGTCTCAAAAATAAATAAACATTAAAAAAAAAATTAAAAAAAAAAAGAATGCACAATCAGGTAGTATCTAATCAGGAAGGCCACAGTATAAGCCCTTCTAATCAATTCTTGATTCACACTTAACTCTTTGCTAATTAGACCACATAATGTTTCAAATGGTGACAATTGTGCCTGCTGTCTAATGAATAGAAATGGGTGCTTGCTAATGCCAGTTTAATCATTCAAGATGTGGGTTGGCTAAAAGCTTTTCAAGGACACTCCTTTTCCCTTGCATGGACAGTGTTTAAGAATCCTACAAGGTCTGCCACCTGTACCCTAGAATGAATTCCTAACCCTTCCTGTGTCCAGCTGTAAACCTGTGGATAGTGGTTCTCACCCAGGAAATATTTTGTCCCCGAAGAGACATTTAGCAAACGTCTACAGGCATTTTTAGTTGTTACAACTTGGGGAGGAATCTGCTGACCTCTAGTGGGTAGAGGTCAGGGATGCTGCTTAACATCCTACAGTGCACAGGAAAGCCCCACAACAAAGAATTATCCATGCAAATGTCAATCAGGCCAAATTGGGGAAACCTTGCTACAGAGGACTCTGTTTGCCCGCAGTAACAGTAACAGAACACTGTCTCTGAAACCCTGGCATGTCCTCAAGTGTTTCTTTCATGTAAAGTGTTGGCCAGAGCACCGAAGAGGACCAAGAATGGGGGTTTCCTCCAGTCTACAGAATAGGATACATGAACAGGTTTTGTGTTTGTACATGTAGTTAATAAATGTCTGGACATAGCTTAATTTAGTCTGAGACTTCATTGTGACCTGGTAGTGCAGCCATCTGGGAGGAGCTCACCCTCACCCCCCTCAAAAACATCTTCAGCAGCTGTGGCTGACTAGAAGGAAACCCAAGGGACAAGCACACCCAGAGTCAGGTCAGCTCACAGCACTGACTCTGCCCAGGGTCCGCAGGGAACACAGAGCCTCCACTCCTTCTTCAAAGAAAATGAATGGAGACAGAAGATGTAAAGCAGGGACCTCCACTAGCTGCCTGGGCAAGTGACTCTTTGCTTTTTATCTTTTTCTGTGAAAAAAGGAAAACCCTTGTATTTTCTGTATTATTGAGCTTATTTGGGCATGAATAAGGTTACAGTATGATGCTGCCAGGACATCAAAACAAGCCCAGACCCACGTGACAGCCATTCTGAGCAAACTGCCTGCTTGGAAGAGACTAGGTGAGAAACGAACATATTCCAGCAGACAATCTTCTGGTTTGCGGGTCTCTGCCTAAGTGTTTGTGCCCAGGTCCACCTGCTCCATTTTGCCTGCCTACGTCCCTCTCAGCATAGCCCAAGCAGCCACGAGTCTGCCTGAATTGGGGGATGTGAGGAAGCTGGTCTGTCCATGGAGAGGACCTCCCAGATTCCATATACGGCACCCATACTTTCCTGCTCCAGGTCTGTGGCAATCCCCTGTTCTTGCCTGCCCTCCTAGCACCAAGCCCACAGCCTGGCACATAGTAGGTCTGCAATAGCTGTCGTTGAACTGCCCCGAACTTCTCACCTGATATGCGGCGGAAGCTGCACTCCAGATGAAGCCCTCGGGAAACTGTCCATAAACAAACTCGTCTTCCCTGAGCAGCGGCATGCCGTTGTTGGTGATGACCTCTGTGTAGTACCTGGCGGAGGCTCTTGCTGTGCGAGGCCTGTTCGTGTTATTGAAATCAACATGGTACAGTCCAAACTTGACTGTGTAGCCATTCAGCCACTCAAAGTTGTCCATCAGAGACCATGCAGAATACCCTCGAAGGTCTACACCATCAAGTCGGTAGGCTGGGAACATTCCAAAGTGAGCAGAGAAGAGCTTTACACCTGGAGGTGCCCCT